AGCATCCACCTACCAGGGCTGATTTTGGAGAAAATGGGAGAAGCGGAAAAATGTACGGAAAATCTTCTCTCTCGTATTCTGTGATTCCTGCATGAACAGCACACCAAACCTAGCTGTTGACTACAGTTTTTAAAACTCATAAAGTCACTGTAAGCTAGACCCTAGCAGGCTCTTTCATATTCATAAATCAAAATTTCTGATGCCAGTAAATCCTGAAAAGGAATAGCAGTTTGTTATGTATGATGGACATTTTGATAAAACTGTCCCGAGCAATGGCAGACAAGAAGCCTGTGCTGCTGAAAAATGTTACTATTGTCTGCTCAAAGCTGGGTTTAAATATTGACTAGCTGCATAGAAAATAGCATCTGATTTGTCAACAGCATGAAAAACAGCCACTGGGAGACCAGCACATTTCTCTGCATCCTAATGCTTCCAATTCCCGGAGATACCAAAGCGAATATTTAACATTTGACATTTCATGGAAAGAAAAAAAAGAGCTGTTTATATCAGGAGTTGAAGATATCCTCGCTAGGAAAATACAGACCACTTAGATAAAGGATGCTTTAGCCTGGTTGATATTTTCTACCAAATGATGGTACTCTTTCCAAAAGTGATCTCGAGATACTCACTGTTGGTTTTACCGGTCTTCTGGAGCGAAACTTCCAATGCTAGAAGTTGCATCCCAGAAAGCTCCCAAGCACTTCAGAGCCACAGCGAGCACGACTGGACAAGTGTCAGGCAGAGACAAGTGTTTCTCTTTTTCCTCTGTGCCTGCTGCGATAGAAAAAACAAATTTTATGCATCCTGAAAGACTGGCTGGAATGTCACTGGTCAGGATTCGGACCCTCTTTTGTCAAAGACGTAGGAACGCATGGCTGCATCGCAGCCATCACATGGGACTTCATCAATTTTTCGTGCCACGATTAATCAATTTCAGCAGACGATTTTCCTCACTGGCGTGGTTCCCCGCCTCCCTAGGGCACTTCATCTGCCACGGATGAACGGGACGGGGATTTGTGAAAGTGTTAATGGGGTGGCTTTTCTCAAGAGTTGTGAAGCTGTGCACGCATGTGTGTGTCAGGTCGGGAATTTTTGACAGTCTCCTGGGAATTGTACGGAACTCTCCAGAGGGGAGCTCCTTCTCCAGGTATACAGGCAATTACTTCTTTTGATGGTTTTTTTGGACCTAATGATTTAATTGTGGCAGGCATTGCTTTTGCCACGCATAGAGATAGCTCAAGAAATGGAAATACAGTAATTACAAGAAGGATGACATAAAATGGGGGTTAATAAAATACGCTATTTACCCTATAAACACTAAAACAAGAAAAACACTTATGTGTGAGAGAGATTATTACGGTACTCATAAATAAAAGCAGCACAACAGGAAAGGAAAGAAAAATGAGGCATTTAGTTCTCACCTTATGTGTGATACTCCCTCCCAGATTTTATAAACAAATAAAGTACATTAAAAAAATAGACCAACTATGCTTCTGATACATGATAAACACGAAGATGAAATTGTAATCAAAAGAGTTAAAATCAAGCTAAATTATTTCTTTATTTATTATTTTCCTTCAAGCACTACTAACATAAAAGTTTTCAGCTCGAAACACTGGTAGAAATGAAACATTCATGGTATCTTTTTCAGAGACTGGAAACCTTATGCTTGGAATGATTTCTGCTCTGGAATGTCTGTAATATACTGAAGCCTTAATACCTTGCTAATTGGTACCTTACTAATTAGCCTGTGACAAGAATTTTAATTAGATGCACAGTAGGTGTTCTCCTTGCCTGCAGTGGAGGAGCTATTTCCTGAGGAGAGAAATGAAAGGAAAAAGGTAGTGGAAGGGATCAATAGAAGACAAATATAATCTAATCCCTACTATAGGATGAGTGTACATTAATGAATATTTTTCAAAATTATGTCCCTGTTAATATATTCTGGTTTGTAAAGGACATTAAAGTTCACTTTGTGATGTGCTCTTTTCCCCTGTAGAAAAAATTGTACTTTTTTTTCTGTGACTTGACGCGTGTTATAAGCAAAATGAGAAATATTGGAACATGACTGTAGTCAATTATGCTCACGGCCAGCCCCAGGGACGGAGCTGAGCGCATCCCAGGCTCAAAGCATGAGTCTCTGTAATCTGAGTTAAAGAGCTGAGCTGTGTACCTGTAAGCTGGATGAAGGTGAAGACGACTGAAAAGGGAGATGCCCAATGCCCATGACCAATGGCTTTGGTTGAGCCTGGGCTGTAGCACTCTTAACCCAGAGTTAAAAATGCATACAAAAAGCTTGGAAGACACAGTTGAGTGAATTCCTATCAACGGCGACTCAAAAATAACAATATTGATGAGCATCATCTATCATTTTTCTTCTATCAGGAAAAGATGCGAAAGAGGGGTAGAAGGTATCTATCTGAAAATGCTGCCACCACTAATGTTCTCATTAGCTTAATGACATATATCCCATTGCAGAGAATTTTAGGATTGTCATTTCGGATGAAGGCTGTTTTAAAATCTGCAAAATATCTAGTGCAGTGAGAGTCTAAAAAACATAAATACAAAGTTTCTTCTCTCTCCAAGGAAGCCCAAGTTGTGTGTATATAAATATAAAGTTATTTGTCAGGCCTGGTAATCCCCATAAGCGCCAGCAGTGAAAAGGGTGATTCAGTTTCAGTAGATAATGGGATATTCTGAAAAATGATGATCGGGTCCAGGGAACATTTTATATAAGGAGTGATAAACAGAGGAGGATGAACTGCACAAAAGGGAAAAACAGTTAATGATTTTTACCCCACTGAAAGGACACTTTAGGAATGGGCTCTCTGAAGGAAGTGGAGAACTTGCTGTACAATTTGCATTATTTGAAAAATACCTTTTTTTACTTAATTTTGACTGGGAAGATTCTTCCACATGGTGAATAAGGTCGCAGGTGAGCCACATTCCAGTGGATGCTCTGTAGATATTTAAAAGCAATAGCTAAGGAATACTTTTATCCAAGAGGCTGTATGAGGGGAGAATAAAGTTGCACTCATTTTTTATAAAGTTCTCACTTGCTGAGACCAGGGATTATTTCATGAAGGTTAGAGAACATTGTTGTAATGAAAAGAGCAAATTAATAAATGGAGAAAAATCTGTAACATTTGCATGTAAATTGTTTCAAGAAACAGAAAGAAGATCATGTAATCCTTGTACTAAAATCAAAATAACCTGATCTCGGTCAATTAATATGAACAGTATACAGTCTGACATCCGGTTGCACATTGTTTGTAGAATAATTCTGAATAGAGAAGAAGTCAGAGAAAATTATGATGGCCTGTGACCCACTCTACAAATAATAAAAGTTGATGTAAAATTGTATTTACTCTGAATTATTCATTCAACTGCCCTGCCTGGTAAAAGATGCTATCTTTTCAAAGGGCTTTATTAAACCCACCTGTCCTACGAGATCTGGTCATTTACCATGGCAAATTTTTCTCCTACGATGAGTTCGATTAGAAACAAAAAGGAGTGGGGAACTCAAGATGGGGTTAGTGGGATTACATAGTTTTTCTTCTTTTATGGGCAGAGATTTAAGGATGATCCAGGTACAAAAGATATTAGTACTCGCTGCCTAATTAGGACGCAGGTTGGGTCTGGCGTATCTTGACGTATATCCCGTTTTGCAGGTAAATGTGGTCTCCCCTGACACCTCTAAGCTAGCAAGACACCCGCTACCTCCAGATCAGAGGCTGTGTGGCCACTTCTGTAAAGCACTGTACTGAAAGCTGTTATCTCTGCAGAAAGGCAGGATATATTAGCTCAGACTTAATGCCGTGCTACACGCATCTGTATCACTCCTGGCCAAATTAGAGCATAAGGGTGAACTTGAATATCCCTGCAAACAGGCTGCAACCATACCTTTTGTCCACTTCCTAGTGGGACTGCTGCTCACATCACAAAATGCCCACCATAGATAGCACTTTAGCAGAGCCTTTATCGGTACTCTGAGCGTTGAATAGGCTATTTGGAAAAGGCGGTTATAATGTACCACCACTTCATTTGAACAGTGCATTTGGGAAGGAAAAAAAAAAACCTACAACAAAACACCTCTTATATGGTTGCCTGCCTTTCTCTGAGAAATAAAAGGAAACTGTTTCTTTATCCTGAGTCCTTTGGTGACGGTAGACTTCAGCATCCAGTACTTTTATCCTTCCTGTTCTCTATATATGTGCGTTTGCTATGGGTTATGGTGGAATATTTTGGATTGCAGACCTCTACAGAGCATCTCCTTTATATCCCAGGTGGCCCAGTGTTATTTTACACAGTCTAGTTGAGATAAGGATGTAGATTACAATGCAGATCAGAAGCCCTAACCAGAATTGGCAGGGAGGAAAGGATATTGGTTTGCTAGAGTAATTACCCATAGGAAGTGGTGATGCTGACACTGGTTTCAATTTTTGAGTGCTGCTAAAGATGTTAATCTTTACTCTGAAGGCTTTAGTCTTTTGTGGTTTGAATGCTGGCTGTGAAGGAAGCTGTCTCTTCTCTCTGTGCTCTATCCAGCAGTAGTGCTCTTTGAAATATTCTGAAGATTTTTATATCTGAAAACTGAAGGAAAATATATTCTTACTTCTGAGCCTTTTACTGGAACTCATTTAATCAGAGATGTACTGTCTGGAATTTGAATGAATATTTGGAGTGTATGTGCTTGAGTAAATAGAGGGTATTATGTTGTGGAGCAGAGAATTAGTTGCTGTTGTGTTATTTTTTTCTGTCTCCTCTACCCAGAATTGGCTAGAAAGGCATTTTCTAGACTATAAAATAATATCTGAATCTTTTATTATTTCTTCTGTCTTACATAATTTAAACTGAAGATTCCTTATTTAAGAAAACCGAAAATGAATTTCAGAGCTTGTGTTATGTAAGTCAGTTAGTTACATCAAGCAGAAAAACTGAACATTGCCTTTGGGGGAGAGAGAGAGAAAAAACAAATGCTTGAAAGCAGAGTCTAGGGAATGGAGGACAATCTGGGGACCAGCTCCTCTGCAAACCATGCCACAGAGAGGCTGGCAAAAGGCATTGGGTACACGTGGAGCACCAGTCAACCTCACAGGTTCTCCTTGATTATGGATGCTTATTGTACTTATGTTCAGTCTGGGAATAATACTCAATATTTTCACATGATTTTGTCTTCCAGAATGATTGAAGATTGTGGGAAAAGAGGAAATACCATGGCAGAAAGAAGGCAGCTGTTTGCAGAAATGCGTAAGTACTTCCCAGAAATGTTTCGCTGTGATAGACCAAGCCAGTCGCAATGCAGTGTCAGTAAAATTTCTGCAAGCTTTCCATCTCAAGTAACTGATATCTCCATTTCACAAATGATTTCATGTTGTGAGACCAGAACTACAGGAAAATGGGCTGATTTGACCAAATAGCTGGAGAGAGGGATTTTCTACATCAGATTTCGTGATTGTATTATTTTAATCAATAGCATCTTGAGACAAAAATGCTGCAATACACAGGTAGCAAGTAAGAGGGATAAAGGTCTCCAAAAGACTGTATCTTTTAGGGGGAGTATCTGTAGTGGGTTGACCCCAGCCAGCTGCTAAGCACCTACACAACCACTTGCTTAATCCCCAACCAGCACTCAGCAGGATAGGAGAGAATACAGGGAGAGCAAAAGCAAGAAAACCTGTGGCTTGAGATAAAGACAGTTTAATAAGTGATGGAAAGAGAGAAAAAAAATGACAGCAAAAACCAACAACAAGTGATGCAAAGCTGGTCACTCACCACCTCCCCAAAGCAGACTGATGCCCAGCCAGTCTGCAAGCAATGTCCACTTTGGAAGAAAAAACTCCCCAACCCCTTCTTTCCCTACCCCAATTTTATTGCTGACCATGACGTTATATGGTATGGACTCTCCTTTTGGCCAGGTGGGGTCATCTGTCCTGGCTGTGTCCCCTCCCAACCTCTTGCCCACACCCAGCGGACTGTCTAGAAGGGGAACAGAGTAGGAAACAGAAAGGCCTGGATGCTGTGCAACCACTGTTCAGCAATAGCTAAAACACTGGTGTGTTATCAACACTTTTCTAGCCACAAATCTAAAACAGAACATCATGCAGGCTGCTGTAAAGAAAGTTAACTCCATCCCAGCCAGACACAGGGACTCGTATACTACATACCCCACTTCAGCATATTTTTTATAGTTTCTAGTGAAGCTTTGTGTTCCCTGCAGAATAGTATGTTGGGGATGTACTATACAATGTTCTTGCAATCCTCTTGACAGTCATCTCTTATGTCTCTTACAAACAGTCCACCATTTCTCAAGGAAGTTCTGTTACGTATGAAGTTTGAGACTGCCACCCTGTTACTAGATTTACCTAAGTTCTGTCTGTAATTACTAAGCTTCCTATTATTTGTCTCCTGCAACATAGTAAAAAAAAATGACGGAACATCTCCCCCATCTTCTGGAGGAGACTAAGATGAGCATTACTGGGACTTGAGCAACTGCACACTGAAAGGCCAGGTCTGCACTAGTGAATTAAATGTGCTTGAGGCTGTTCCCCAGGGGTGAGGCCAGGGGCACCAAATGTCCTACATCTGCGCTCCTGAGCTCTCCACATTAAGGACTTCTCATTCAGGTGGCCTACTGAGAATGGTCTTGGTCCATTCCACTGTTTCCACTAGCTCAGTTGTGCCCTGTAGTTACGTCAATATGACACAAGGCTTACTGTTGTAACTCAGATGGATATTTCTCTTGTCTCTTTTGTACAACATTCTGGACCAGTAGAGGGAGGGGTTCTTCTTTGGCCAGAAGAAAAAAAAAAAGAAAAACAAGAAATAAAAGGTTGATGCATTTGTCCATTATCAGAATATACTATTCTTTTAATTAGAATTATAGAGAGGACTTGAGCTTGTATCAGCTAAAGTCAATAGCACAACTTCCATTAACTTCAGTTGGTTTGAAATATTCCTAAAATGGAAGATAATTGCTTAAGACTTTGCTGTGAGGATTTACAGTTTGTAACCACAGTTTTGAAGGCTGTTTTGCTGCTGGGTTGTTTTGGAGGAGTTAAGGAGGTGTTGGGAAAATTTACAATCAGTAGTTGAGGCGGAGGAGGGATTATTTCCCCATACTGTACACAAATAGTTATTGTCTATTTTTTCTTTCACATTTTAGTATTTTGACATATTACTTGTGTCTGGTTTATCTCATGTGTGCTTCCCTTTTCTATTTGCCTGCTTTCCTTCCTCCTCCTGCTACACATGCACACAGAGAACTGGGTTCCAACTAGGTAAAAAGAGGGGAAAATACTAAACTTTTGTGAAAAACTAAATATGTTTTAGGCAAAGAAATGTCTAGATTGATATAAAACAATGAATTTTGCATTTTGAGAGTCCGTTGGATTCTTGTGTATATAAAGGGTGTGCTTCACTGAAACAGAAGCTTGCCCTTCTGTCCTTGCATTCAGGTGCCCTCAGCTCTGTGCAGGCCCACACGGTCCATATTTAATAAAAAACATGCTCCACACGCCCTATATACTGTGGGCCATGCAAAGCTTCTTAACATTACAACAAATGTAAACTTCTGGTAAAAAGTTAAAATCCACAACCTGCCAATGTTAGGAAGAAAATTCATAATATAGAGGACTTTGTCAGGGGGTTAGGTTCTTGCAGTCATGTCTGCAAGTCTGTGATTAAAACCCCACAATACTTTTAGGAAGTGGATCATCTTCCAGACTACACAAGACAGCAAAAAAAAAATTCCAAGTTTTCCTGCCTTTCTAAGTAGGAAGCTTGTTCTGAACAAGGAATAGATGGATTTGACTCTCACTTTAGATTTGGGCCACTAGGTGATTTTTCCTGCATTTAAAGAAGTTTAGTTTGACTTTTTGTTTCCTTTCCTTCAGAAGAGGCACCTTTCTAGTTCCAAATTACAACCCTTTGTGAATTAGTATCATAATCAATATCATCTTCTGTAGAGTCCTGTGGTTAAAGCTTATATTGTGTCTTATATCTCAAAATGCACCACTGGATGCGAAATCCCTAGGCTACCCTTCATCTTACCTGATATGCTCAGGTGTAGCCAGACTGATCAAAGTGTACATGACTGTTGTGCTGCCAGCACATATTATCCAGCAAGAAAATGGCAGCCAAAGCTTGCAATGTATCCCGTTATTATTTTTGCAAACTGCAAACAGTGTTAACATGAGATGAGCATATTCAAAGGAAACAGAGCAAAACACTGCCAGTGGGCAAAGGGAAGGAGAGGCCACTGGCAATCCTGTAGGCAAGTTAAATATTCAGTGTCTCATTTGCCATGCGCAGTCCTGCACATTTTTCTACTTGTTTTCCAGGACTCTCCGTGTAGATGAAGTCCCTTTTCTACAGAAGTTATTTGACAAAGAGATCTCTGACTGTGGGAAGATGTGAATCATGATAAAATTAAATTGTCTGTTCCAGGGTTTTATCATCAAAAACACCTAATCCCAAAATAATATCAAACTAATACCATCCACTGTGTGTGTAAATAGTAAAGAAAAAAAGCAACATTATTGCCTACAAATTTGTTTATTTAGAGTTAATACTGCTACCTAGGAAGCTCAATGAGCTGGAGTCTCATGTTGCTTTGAATCTTTACATCTTGTTAAAAGGCTGATTAGTAGCTTTCACTAAAGTTAAGAGGGAAAAAGTTAAATTAATTTTACTCATCAGTCTTATTAGAAAAGGAAAGACAGAGTTACAAGCATTATCTTCTCCTTTATCAGTAAAGAAGTTTTCCAAAAGCTGTCAATGGGATACTAACGGAGAAGAGAAAAACCTGTGTAATTTAACAATAAAACATATGAGGAAAAAAAGGAAAAAAACTCGCTAGGCCTGATGTTAAGTAGTTATGGGTAGCTTCTCCCAGGAGCAGATGGTATTGACAGCCAACTGGCAAAAGAGTGTAGCTGGGAGCCCTGGGAAGATGGTGTGGGAGAATTTGGTCAGGAAAAAAGCAGATTCTGGGGAAAGGGGAGAGTATCGTTCTCATTTTCATCTCACGGGTCAGAGCACATTTGAAATACTTGGGTCCAAAGGATGGCAGATTGTTGGGAAAGCGTGGGTGAACAGAGCCGAGGTGGCCATGTGTACAACAGTGCAGCTGAGCGGCCAGTCTAGTAGCGTCAAGATGAGTCGTAAAGAAAGCATTCAGGAAGCCTGTGTAGAAGCAGAATGGGGCCATATTCCACTCCACTTCTCTTACTGCCTGGTTGTACCTTGTTTGGATGTGTTTCATGCGGACAGTTCCTTAGGAAACTGTTTTTTGTAACTTGGTGCCTTGCTCAACTGAATAGAGCAGGTTTTACTCCTGATACAGGGCCAACCACCATGAAAAAGCAATGTGCAAAGATTTAATTGAGTGTGTTTCCATGAAATGTGTGGTAAAATTAATAAGCAGTCTTGTATTTCATAGGCTAATATTGTAGCTATGAGGCAACGCTTCTTTATGTAAGACATGCCAGGCAAGAAGGAGAAGGATTTAAACCACAGTCTCCTCATCTCCTTTCTGAGGTTTTGGGGAAGCGTTATGAGTGGTACACAGCAGCGGGAGGCCTAAAGACACTGTGCCAGGTTCTGCTGCCATCCTGGTCCCTCTCTGCTGCGCATGTATGTGAAGTAGCTACCGGTCGGTTTATACCCATCTCCTGGTCAGCTGCTTTGGAAAGGTTGCCAGACCTTGGAGTTGGAGCAGCCGGGGCCAAGCTGTGTGTGAAGCAGAGAGCTGGCCCTTCCAGGTCTCCGTTGCAGAGAGTGTAACTCCGCAACACGGAGAAAGGCCTCACAGCCTTTGCATTCTGTGTGCCCCCTTCTGCAGACTGCTACTGGTCTTTTCATTGCAGCGTGATTTTGTTTCTGATCTGGTTTGCTGGCAACACCTTGTTCTGTTCTGGCATGTCAGCCAAAGATATTTATTACAAGCCTTGTTGTTGAATATTAAAATTATATGGAGGTTTTCCCTTGCTGTTGGAGCCTAGCCAGTGTGTCTTTTAGCCTGCAGCTTGACCAGATTGTTCTTCAAAGTGACAGACACAGCGGGCCGACTTGCCTTCCTTTATAAAAGTCTTTTAACACTGTAGCTCCTGCCATTCTCCTCCTTTCTCCTCACCCCTCTCTACTTTCCCTGCAAAGGAGAGAGCCTTGAAAACTATTAAACAGAGTCAGGCCATGTGTCCTCTTTGTTCTCTGGCTTCCCTGCTGGCAAAGATATGCACAGGCCATATTCCCTACAAACGTCGCTGTTGTTCTTTTCCACCAGGGGCTCAAGATCTGGATCGCATCCGCTTGTCCACCTACCGAACAGCGTGCAAGCTTAGGTTTGTGCAGAAGAAATGCAACCGTAAGTATGTCAGCGCTTCTGTCATACGCCATCGTCGTCAGTTTTCCACTGCACCCCCCAGTCTGTCCTTCACATCAGTCGCAAACCGGGGCTGTTTGATCCGGCATTGCGAGGGACACTGCTCAGGGCGCTTGGGCAGGTTTTAAATATTAACCTGTTTAGGTAAGGAGCTTGTCTCAAACATGCCAGGCGTTCAGTTGTAGAAGAGTGGTTTGGGATACAGGCCACAGCTTTAATTAGTACGTACATTAACTACATTCTCCAGTTTTCTTGTAAAATAACATTTGGGGGTTCCAGCAAGATCCTGCAAAATAAATGCTTTTATAGTGTTTCTATGAGAAGAAATGGTGGTTCTAGTCCGCGTCTGTTTGGGGCGCAGCAAAGTAAGTGCAATGTCAGTCAGCCCCCTTGGTTCTGGAAGGCCAGCTAGAGGCAACGTCTTCTAAGAGGATGAACCTGCTTGTAATCTCTGCATGTCTGTCTTTCTCCACCTAGGATTCATTCTTGAGAAGTTTCCCACTTGATTAGTGACTTTTTAAACATTTCTTCTGAGATCCAGCCTTTCTTCCTTTACAGCTGCAGTTTCTATTAGCACAGTCATGTGCTGAGCACTTTAAAGGCAAAATAAATACAAAATCGGTAACAGATTGTACCCTTTCTTCTCTGTCCAAAATACTTAGAATGGTAGGGTTTGGTTTATGTTTTTTACCAGACCTTTCCACGCTAAGTTTAAAAAAAATCCTAACCAGGGGATATCTTGTCAGTAGTAGCAGTAGGGAGAGGACTAATGCAGGGAAAACAAGTGTTTTTAGTCTTCATATCTGAACTAGAGTGACAGCCTGGCTACGTTTGTGCTACGCACAGTGGTAAGTACGTTAAGAAATGCTCACTGTAAATAGAGATTAACCACCCGGGAAAGAGGGGAAAAAAACTAGGAACTTAGTTTTGAGGTTACATCTATCAGTGTTACAGAAGTGTTTAGCTTATCCTGTCCAAACATACTGGAGAGGCCAAGTTGTGGCAGAAAAGACTTTGGAGATTATTTATCGGGTTATTAGCTACAGAGCTGGTCTTTCAGTCACTTTTGCAGCACATTTCTCATGTTTTTAATATGTGTTTAGTTGAAGTATGAATTGAAGTATAATTAGTGTCACATTATAAACAGGCTGCCAGGCACCAAACCCGTGAGGGATTTAGTAGTACCTGCCCAGCAGCTGGCTTCTCCCATTCAGGTGGAAATGTGCTGAAAGACACTATTACGTTGCATTCAGTTGTTTATTTTAATTTTTTTAATTTTAAGGAGATGAAATTTTCACTGCATTTTCATGGTAACAATACAATAGTCTTAGGTGACAAAAGTATCGAATTAAGTTGACAGTCATAGCAAAGATAATACTAATTGCTTTGATAACTGTATACAAAGCAAATGAAAAACCTAAGGGTGCAATAGCCTCATTGTTGGGAGTGGCTGGCTGGCTAAAAATATCGGTTGTTAATCTTAACTTTGCTCCTCTTATTTATCAACTGTGATTTGCTTTTGTGGAACTGTTGGTTCTTTTCATAGAGAACCAATACACATGCCCTTCAGTTTGCCAGCTTGTGCGGAGTCGCTTAGGGACAGTGCTTGCCTTCTGTTGACGTTGAGAACCTAAGAGAAGTGATTTGGGTCTTATATCAAGACTTATATTTTATCAACCTCTTCTGAAAAAAAAAATAAAGGGGGTGGGGCGCTTAAACAAAAATGTCATCCTAAGAATTGGGTTCTGTGCAACTTAAGGAATAATGCCTGTTGCTCCAGAATGGGCTGAATTGCTCCAGAATGGGGTGAGTTTCAAGGACAGTTTCCTTATGGTTGTTCCTGCTAGACTACTGCTCTCCCAGGTGGCTTTCTCTTATTAGTGGGAAGTTATTCATTTACCTGATGCGATTTCAAGCAATGGTGTCCAAGGTAGAGCTTCTAAACATAGAGCCACTGCCCCAGAACGGTTAATATCACACCTCCTGCTCACGTCAGCTGCTCTTCTATTTTTTTCCCCCCCCGCTTACAGAAATTGCCGTTATGCACCACTCAGTAGTAAGTTCAGGAGAAAAAAAAAAAGGAACATGGGAAAAAACCCTTTCTGCTGCATCTGAGCTGTTTCATTTAGGGAAGAATATAAAAAGTAAAAGCTCAAAGGCAATTCTGCTCCACTCCCAGTGCATAGTATCTCCTGTCACTCAAGCCGTCCTTGCTTGCTTTCAGCTGTGCTCTCCTGCCCTGCCCTGGCACATTGGCCCAGACTTACTAGAAAAAATTGCTGGGAAAG